TCTAGAGAAAAACCTTACCAGTGAGTGGAACCTTGTCAGGACCCGTCTTGGGAAATGAATCTGCCCTGGATGGCAGGACACACGCAGGGTCAGTCAGCTTCTGGTCGAGCTGAGGACTCAGCGGAGGGCCCCCTGGGGAGTGTGGGCTCAGTGGCCTGTGTCGTCCCCCGCCCAGCCAGGTCAGCTCGCCACTCCACCCGGAACCACTGAGTGAATCTGAGGGACCCGCATCCTCTCCGTGCCTGTGCGCCCTCTGCTCCCTGAGGACGGGACAGCGCCGCCTCGGCAGTCTGTGAGGAAGGCAGTCAGCCTCCCTGAGCTATCCCTGCAACGGGGAGTCCTGGGTGTACGTTCAGCCCCCGAAAGTCTCTGAATAACTGAGAGCCTTTCAGTGAACACCCCGGAGGGGAGCTGTGCTGTGGGGAGGACGGGCTGCAGATGACATGATCCGGGTGGCTGAGCCTCAGGTTCCCGGGCAGGGTCGTCCTGCTCAGGAAGCCGGTGTCAGCTGCTAACAGCTGACAAGATGGACCCCTGGGAACTGGCCGTAGAAATGATTTTCTTACTACAAGCTGTGTTGGGGATCCTGGGGAATCTCTCTCTCCTTTGCCATCAGCTCTTCCTCTATTTCACCGGCTCTGGGTGGAGGGACACAGATTTCATCATCAAGAACCTCATTGTGGCCAATATTTTGGTCCTGATCTCAAGTGGAATCTGCTATCCAGTGACATCCTTGGGGGAGTCCCCCGCCCTCAATGATTTCGCATGCAAATTTTGCCATTATGGCCGTCAGGTGGGCAGGGGCGTGTCCATGGGCACCACCTGCCTCCTGAGTGTGGTCCAGGCCGTCACCATCAGCCCCTGGTGCTGCAGGGGGGCAGGGCTGAGAGGGTGGGTCCTGCCCTGTGTTGTCCTGTGCTGGGTCCTTAACATGTTGTTAAGAGTCTTGTATCCTATGTTTATAAGCAGTGGTTTGAGCACCACCAACTCCTCAAACAGGAAAAGCTTTGGACAGTGTCATTCTGTTCTTCCTGACAAAACCACAGACTCATTATTCCCAGCATTACACTCGCCCCCGGACATCCTGTGTGTGGGGCTCATGGTCGGGGCCAGCGGCTCCATGGTGTGCACCCTGTACCGGCACAGGCAGCGGGTCCGGCACCTTCACAGGAGCAGCGCCTCCTCCACGTGCTCCCCGGAGTCCAGAGCCACCCGCACCATCCTGCTCCTGGTGAGCACCTTCGTCTGCTTTTCCACCCTCTCCTCCACCTGCCAGGTGTGCTTGACTTTCCTCCCCAACCCTGACATGGTCCTGGTGAGAACCAGCTCCATCATCGCTGCGTGCTTCCCGACCGTCAGCCCCCTTGTGCTCATGCCCTGGGACCTGGGGGCACCCCGTCTCTGGTCCGGCTGCGCGAGGAATCCAGAGCCCCTTCCCCTGTGGAGAGAGAGAGAAGCTGTGCAGGACAGAAGTGTGAGCGTGCTCACGCCAGGAGCAGGTGCCAGGACAGCGGGACTACTTCAAAGGCCGCCATCGGGTCACTTGTTACCGTGTAGAGCTACCACGTTGTCATCATGTGCTGAAGTTTTCAGCGGCTTGTGTGGCGGGTTCAGGTGTGTGCACCTCTCTGGTGAAGGTGATGCAAATGTGTTTCTGCCATTGGAGATGTCCGCTTGGGTCTTTCAAGGTGAGACTCCGTGAATAGGCACCTCGGAAGGGCATGACTTGTATTCATTGTGTTTTCAAAGAACAAAGTGGGTGTGTCCTCAATTTCTTGTCCTCACCGACAGGAGCTTTTGGTGTTTAATGCAAGTGATAACTGAACCTCGTTTGAAGGTGCTTCCAGATGTGGTGCTGGAATCAGTGTGCTGTTGTGCTTCACGAACCACTGGGAGCCACAGGACACCTCAGCCTGGCCAGAGGTGCATCTCTAACAGCCGTGGATGCCTCTACAGAACTCCTGTCTCCTGGGCAGAAAGCATTCCAGTGGTGACCGTTGAACAGAAAGGCGTTCACTCTGGGAACATGTTGGATCTGATGGGGACGGTAATGGAGAAGAGGCTATTTTCCCTCTTCAGTTTAACTGTAATGGGAAAATTGCTGTCGTTTTCCATTTCTCACAACAAGTGTGAAGATCATATTGTTTCTACCTGGTTAAAAAAGTTTCTCATTGGTTGTAAGCCAGGTACCACCCTAGTGTAGAGCTGTGATAGGCAGGGAGACTGGCCCAAGGTGTGTGGTACAGTCAATTTCACTGACTCCAAAACTGACCTAAAAAAAGAAATCCTTTTCAAATATACACAATATGGCTATTTTCTCATAACTATCCAAAAATCTATCGGTGTATATCGCGGCATCTGGATGCGTTCTAGATACACACCCTTTCGATGACGTATGTGTGTATTTCATCACAGGGAATTATTACTCAGCTCTAGTGTTAATAGGTAGGCCTGTGATCTGAAATTAATCATTTTGTTTCTACATTGTTCTATCATATATGGATATGTCCCGAAACTGCGGGCATGCTGTGATCTTCCGCCAGTATCTGTGGGAGACGCCTTTATACCTGATCCCGCACACATGACAAGCCCGTGCTGTGGTGTACTCCAGTTCTCGTGCCCATAGCTGCCTCTCCGTGGGAATCTTCCTGCCAGTAGTGCGTCTCCATTTATTAAGACAGCTAAAGCTTTATTCATCGAGATCGGCCTGCAGAATAAATCTTAACAAGTGGAATCTTGTTAAAACCAAAATTGGGGCCTCCCTGGTGGTGCGAGGGGTTAAGCGTCAGCACTATGAAGCTGTCTGCAGCCACTGCAGCACGAGTTCAATCCCCAGCCAGGGAGCTACCCACATGGCACAGCAGACCTCTCCTGACTCCCTGCTGCTCCCCTCAGCAGTGGATTTCAATAGATCCGCCTGTTCCGCTCCTTACTCTGTCTTTGGTGAATCCTCTCACCCCCTGCACCTCTGGCCTGTACCCCATTTCTTATATGCATAAATAAACGTTAAAAAAAAATAAAACCAGAATTGTACCATAACGAAAGTCTTAAACAAAATGACAAGGGGACAAAAAGCAACTCAGTGTAAATCTGGATTATCTGATGAACACAGCTAACCGGCTTTTCAGGGGTGCGTGAAAAACTGCTAGGGGCTGAGATAGGAATTATATTTAATATTTTTTGTAAAACGGCCATTTTAACAATGCTAGTTCTTTCAACCCATGAACATGATCAAAAAAATCCTCCTGGTTTTTTGGTATCTTCTATTTCCCTTAACAATGCCTTAAGAGTTTTCAGTGTCCACGTCTTTCATCTTTATTATTGGTACTTTCTCCTCTTGACTGATTGTAAATGGGACTGTTAAAAAAGTCTTTCTTCTAGTTTATTGTTTATAGAAATACAAGTTTTGCCTATTGATTTTGGGGCCTGATACTTCTTTTTTTTTTTTAAAGATTTATTCATTTTATACAAGAACCGGAGTACAGGCCAGATGCGTGGGAAGGTGAGAGGACAGAGTGATGATGAAGTACACTGCTGAGAGGAGCAGCAGGCGAGACAGGAGAGGTCTGCCGCACCATGTGGGACCCTCGCCAGTGGCCGGGATCGAACCGGTGCTACAGGCTGCAGACAGCTTCGCAGTGCGGCGCTCAACCACCTGCGCCACCAGGGAAGGCCATTATTTCTAATGGTTTTTCAGTCGAGTCTTTAGGGTTTTGATATATTATTGTGTCATCTGCAAAGAGTGATCCTTCTTTCCCCAGAGTGCCTTTCTTCTTCTGGCCTAATTACCGAGACTAGGACGTCCAGCACATGGTTGACGGAAGTGGTAAGAGGATGTTCTTTTCTTAGTCCTGCTCTTAGAGGACATGCGCTGTAGAGACGTAAGCCCACCGCCCTGTGACCGCTGGCTGGAACGTTCCTCTGCAGCTCCTGGAAGGTTGCCTCCTAGGGCTGTGCATTCACCGTCTGCTGAGGGAGGGTGTCCCAACCCCGACCCCGCCTCACCAGCTCACGTCTTTCAGTCCTTCAGAAATGCGTATCCTAGGAAAGGTGCATGTTTGTTGTGGGGGGGCGGGTGCGCCAGGAGGGGCTGGGTTTAAGTCATAGGCCCTGCCCCGTGACAGCACTGAATTACCGAGGAAGTGCTGAGTCCCCTTCACCTCACCCCCAGCTCCCAGCAGGGTAACAGGCCCATGGTGACACGAGGGCTCGGGCTCGGCTGGTGAAGTCACCTCGCCACTTGCCGCCAAGCCCCCTCCTGCCCACAGAGCCTGACCTCACTCCAGAGTCCCCAGAGCCACCCACACGCACGGCCATCGTGGTGGCTCCTGCACCTCCCGGGGCTCCTCGGCTCAGCTAGAATCCAGGCGACCTGCTGAGTGATGAGCCCAGACCGTTGCCTCGACAGTCTCCCTGTCTCCCCACCTAGGAATGTGTCCCAGAAGCTGTGTCTGTGCTTCTGTCCACGTGTTATTTGGTCACCTAGCTGGTCAGGTGACCGCCCTGGGAAGAACCTTGAGTCTGGGCAGCCCACCCCAGCGAAGCATCGGTGCCTGTGTTTGGGGCGGGGGGCGGGGGGGAGTGGGCAGGAACAGACACAGGGGGGTGGGGCAAAGTTGCTGGCTCCTCCCCATCAGAGCCTGATCGCCCCAGGTCCGTCTCCCTCAGTGAGTTAGAACCATGTCTGCCACACACCGTGACCCACTTTACATGTGTTAACCCACTTCGTCTTCACAAGCAGCCCCATGACCTAGACGTCCTGCCAGGGACCAGCTATGGCAGAGGCTCGGCCGCCTGCTCAAGCTCACAGAGACTGACTGGGGGGCCAGCTTCAGGCCCCGGCGGCCGCCCCAAGGCCCCTGCTCTCACCAGCGCAGGAGGGGCCGGGGGCTGCAATGCTGGCCGTGGACCTCGGACACCCCGCCCTGGAGGTCTCTAGAGCATCCTCCGGACCTCAGGTCTCCCAGACAGAACGGTGGACCTCGGCCCTGCTGGGGTGCCTCCTCCGCACCAGTGATGCGACCAGAGCACCAGCTGTTTCTAGACCTTTATTTCTCTGTGAAAAGGGGGGAGGGAAGGAATAAAATAAAAACGACACAGTTGACACAAAAAACCCACTGAGGGGACAGGGAGGCGGAGAAGGCAAGAGGAGGGGTCCACAACAGCAGCAGGACCAAGTGACCTGATGGTCACACTTCTCCCCCCGCCGGATGCAGGCAGGGCCCTCCCAAGGGTCGCCGCCCTGTGGCGCCGAGTGCCCCGCCCCAGGGAGGTGGGCGGTGAGGCTGCAGAGGAGGAACCGTGCGGGGAGGGCCCGGGTCAGACCATGCACCGGGAGTGACAGCCAAGCCCCACCGTCTCCCCGAGGGGGGCTGGACGCCGCGGATGGCGGGTGGCAGCTCCACTTCAACATCAGGCAAGAGACAGAACTGGGGACAGAACAGCAGAGTGAGCATCACAGGGAGCCCCACACCTGCTCCCACCCCTCCCCGCCCTGGCACGGCCCAGACCGCCCTCTCAGGGTCTCCGCAGCCTCCATGCCTCACCAGTCAGAGCCTCCTGGGCAAAGTACTTGACGTCCACGTCCTGGTCCTGGGTCAGCTTCTCCAGGATGGGTTTGACCTCACTCTGCAGTGTGCTGCAAGTGGAGGGCAGGGTGAGCGGGTGGCGCGGGGTCTGGGGCCCGGACACAGACACCCTCGTGGATTCAAGCGCAGAGAGGCACAGGAGGGTCAGGCCGTCTGGACCGGTCCCCAAGTTCAGGGGTTGGGCAGTTGAACACTCATCACTCGCCCCTCAGAGGCTGCCGGGTATGGGTCTGGGTTCCCGCCACGCGCAGTCTGGGAAGGCGTGGCAAGCGCCGAAGGGAAATGCTGGAAGTGTGTGGCTTCAGCCCCCAGACCTGGCACAATGGGAGCCGCACACGTCACTGGTTCCTGGTGACCAGGAGAACCCCACCATGCTGCGGGCAGCACGTCGCTCGCTGTCCAACAATACAGCATACAGCCCTGGACTTTCTAGTGCTGCTTCAGTGAGCCAGGCCTCGTCGAGGCATCAGCCAGCCCACTCACTGCCGGTGGAGGGGGGCGAGCCCAGCCCAAGAGCAGCTGTGCCAGCCGCGGCCCCGCGGCGCTGAGGAGCCCTCTGCTCTTGCGGAAGGGGCCCAGGGAACCTGTCTGCACCGAAAGCCCATTCCCAGGGGGAGCCGAGTGTCTGCTGAAACTACAGGGGGGAAGTTGTGTCTGCAAACAGACGCAGAGAGAGGCATCACAAGCGCAATTTAAGCCTCTCCCCTCGGCTGACAGAGGCTCCCAAGCACCGCTGCGCTCGCTCCCATCACAGCTGCATGTCCTCCTTTGAGCATGGGGCATAAAAGGAAGCACCAGGGTGTCCTCTGAGTGAGAGCGTCACCGTGCGGGCGCAAACTGCAGGCTTTCTTCTTCACAGCCCAACTCGAGGTGGAGCAAAGCGGGGCCCGCAGACAGATGTTTGCGGTTTCCACAATGGCGGCCACCATGAGGGCCTCAGACATGAGCACGGCCTGTTTGTTCCTGGGCGGGCGCCAGGAGGGGAAGTGTTGCGCCCATCTACTCACTTCCGGGGTGACTGGATGGCCTGCCTCTCACAGCCCCGCCCGGGGAGCAGGGCGCCAGGGCCCACGACACCTGTGCTCACACCATGGTGGAGTCGGGAGGCTCAGCTGGGGAGGGCGTGTGTGTGGGGGGATGTGCGTTCTCCTGACGGCTAGTGCCGAGCGCCTTGCCACCCCAGACCTGGAATCACCCGTCCGAGGCTTCCCCCACCTCCTGTCCTACTGATCTGCGGAAGAGCACTCTGGCTTCGTTCTCCGCCACAGCGCGTCCTGCCTGTGCCGCCTGCCTGCCGGAGGCCGGCGTGTCCACTCTCATAACAGGGTCTCTGGACCAGGGTCTTCAATTTACTGAAAACCAACTCATCCGCCTTTGGCGGCTACTCAACAAAGCTGTGTCCACCGTTAAGTCCTGAGGGTATCGGCCTACATTTCCTTCTAGAATTTTCACCCTCTGGTCTCTCATCCCTTATTTGCTCGTGAACTGAGGTGGGAGGTTCTTGGCTCTGGTGGGCGCCCACCCACTCCACCCCCGCTGACTGCTGTGGCACCTGCTGCAGACTCGGGGCTGGTTTCTGTGCCCTCGTTCTACTCCACCGAGTGATCTGAACTCTGTTGTGCTGACGCCCACTTTTCTCTTGCCACAGACATCACCTGTCCTGGCGTCACAGGCCTTAGTCTACCGCCTTTGCTCTTTAGGGTCACCTTGGCTGCTTCAGATCTTTGCATATTCATGTTAACTCCAGAATCAACTGGCAGAACTTCCATTGGCAGAACATGGTGAGACGGGCTGGTATTTGTCCCATCCGTGAACACCATGTAGCGCTTTCATTTCTCAAAGCAAATGTTATAGTTCTCACTAGAGACATTGCAGTTTTCAGTAAACCTTCTCCTAGGTGGATGATGACCCTGGTGGAATTATAAATCACACACACAAACACGTGAGCCTCTCCGTTTTCTAGCACTTTGCTGCTCGCACAGAACTGCCGCCTTGGCAGCCCTCCCCTATGTGCGGGAGGTCACGTGGCCTCTCAACCCACAACTGAGCTGAGGAGCAGAGGGGTTACAGATGGGCCAAGGTCACGAAGCAGGCAAAGGGCAGTGCCCGCCTCACCCGAGGCTCTCCCTGCAGAGCTCAGACAACATGCCCGGGGGCCTGCTGGTGAGTGCGGATGCCACCTCACCTGTTGTCCAGGATGGGCCCGATCTTCTGCAGGGACTTGGCCACGTTGAAGCGGACGTTGGCCACAGGGTCCCCGGCCATCCGCAGCACGGTGGGCAGCATGTGCTTGGTGGTGATGTCCTGCCCGCAGACCTCCGACAGCACCTGGGAGCCAGGGCAGCACAGGCTGATCACCCGCCCTCGGGCCTAGAGGAAGCTGAGCCCACTCGGGCAAGGCGCTCTCCTGAGTCCCCCCTCACCCGCCGCTCACTGTCTTCCCGTCCCTGCCCGTCCACAGCCTTCCCTTCACTCCTGGGGGTGGGACTTGGCTCCTGATCCCCAGGGTCCCCAAGGGGAGGCCTGGGAAGGAATGATCAGAACTCTGAGTTACACTGGTTTTTAAATCCTGTCCTTTGATTTTCGGCCACGTGAACACTTTTTTCAAGGGGACAGACAGGAACATACTTGCACAAGACTTCTGCTGACCTGGCCCTGTGCCCACAGAACCAGGCCGACCCTCGCCACATGAGGAGGCAGCATATGACCAGATTCCAGGCCAGGAAACCAACTACCTGGCCACAACTACCTGGCTCGTTCTCCACAGTTGCAGCCGGCACGGCAGAGCGCTAAGGTCTGCCTGTGAGGCCTGCACGCTCAGCCATCACGCCACGCACACACTTTTTGCACACATTGTGCAGAAGGAGGCCACTCCCGGCGCCATCACTTCTCCTCAGCCCTGGATCCCTGCCACACAGGCAACACCCCCAGAGGCCCCGTGAGGCTGACAGTCCAACCTCAGGGCCGGAGTTCCCCAGGGGGCAGACCGCGACTCCATAGCCCACCACGTCCCGCTCCCGGGTCTGTTCTCTCTGCCAGCCCTCCTCCCCGGGTGCTCCAGTTCCCAGTGGCCGGCGGGCTGCTCACGTTGATGCAGAAGAGTGTGGTCATGCGGTGCAGGTAGTTGGGGTCTCCAGACATGGCCAAGACCTTGGGGATGATAGTGGCGTGGGCCCACTCCTTCCCAAACTTCTCCACCAGCTTCTTCAGGTTGCTGGTGGCCGCCTCGCGGATGGCATAGACTGCGGGAAGGGGAGGTGGGTGTGATGGCGATGTGGTGGGGCTACGTGTACTCACGGGCGCCTACCGCAGCCCTGGGCCAGGCCAGCGACCACCGAGCCTGGGGGAGAGGGCTCAGCATGCCCCACATGGGGCTCCCCATGCGTGTCTCCTTGGCATCCCCCATGGGATGCTGGCTCATTTCAGAGGAGCCCCGGTGCTCCAGAAGCACCCGACTCCACGCATGCTCTGGTGCCTGACACAGACGGCCCAGCCACTTGACCGCGCTCCACAAAGCCACAAGCCCGTGTCCGATCAGGCCGAGATGGAGATGGGCTGAGACAGCCACGAACGGGGGCTCATGAACGTGGGTTCAGTGCTGAGCCTGGCCTGCTGCACTTGGCTTCCAGGGGCGGGCTCAGGCCCCACTACCTAGGCAGCCCCGGGCAGCCGCCCTGTCCCCCCACCCTGCACATGTCCAAGGCTCTAGAGAGCAAGGAACCCAGTCGCTACGTGCATCTGTCAGTGCCACCCACACCCCGCCAGAGCCCCACTTTCCCCGGCCTCTGCAGGCACTCACCGTGATCCACCAGCCAGGCCATGCACAAGGAGTTGAGTTTCTCATCAAAGAACTCCACCCCCTGCAGGAGGGAAGCAGGGAGGAGGTTTCCAGGGTGCCCCAGGAGGGTTCCTCAGCTTCCCCGGTGGACTCTCCTCCCTCCCTCAGCGCTGATCATTTTCAAGGCCCTATTTCCTCGTCCTCCTTCCCTACACGGCCCTCCCAGTCCAGGTGGCCGTCACCGCGCCGACTCCCGCCCCGGCATCACGCTCACCAGCTGTCCAGCTAGCAGGGGCATGTACTCGATGATGGCCAGTCGCACCCGCCACTTGGCGTCCTCCGCCAGCTCCACGATGGCAGGGAGCAGGGACTGTGACAGCTGCCGGATGCCAATGACCTCGTTCACGCAGTCCAGGTTGGAGATGATGTTCAGCCGCACCTCTGGGCACTGAGGGGAGCATGGAGATCAGATGGGGGCCCAGCACACAGCAACCCAGGACTGGCAAAAGGAGCCCTCTCACCCAGACAGTCCACCCTCCTTCTCTGGCCACCATTCCCAAGGCCCCGGCTGCCCAAGCTTCTCCAACACTAAACACACAGGCATGGTCACATGACCAGCTCTGGCCAGTGAGGGGCGTGGGGTGAGGGCGGGTGTGCTGAGCACCATCCTTGGGGTCTGGCTGAGAGGATTAGGCCTGCTGCTGTCCAGGGCACAGAGATGGGGGAACTCATAGTGGCCACCTCAGACCCAGGGAGTGCTGCAGTCGGCAGAGGCCAGTCCCAGTGCAGGCCCAGTCACCTCTGGGCTGCTGTGAGGAAAGGATGCCAGTATTTAAGCCTGTGGCTCCAGGGTCCTGTGGTGCAGAGTCAGCCTGATTCCACGTGGGCACAGGGAGACACACACACACGCGCGCCCCCTGGATCACAGAATCCAGGCAGCCCTGCCTCTCTCTGCCAGTTTCTGAGGACCAAAACCGTCTGCTTTGTTCTCTGGTCTCTGGAAGCCAGGACAGCAGCAGCACGGGGGAAGGACCGGGCAAAACGAGTCTCAGACGAGTGAGTGGATGTGGGCCACCTCACCCACAATGCACAGCCCCCGGGGCCCAGGTGTCAGCTGACAGGGCCAGCAGTCACAGGCAACCCAGCAAGGCAGCCAGCCCACCTGCGCTCAGAGCCCCCGCGGGCCTACCTCATCCTTCAGCTGAGCCAGGAAGAGGGGCAGCAGGTGCTCGATGGTGTTGTCCTTGCCCAGGATGGGGGAGAGGCCCATGATGACTGACGCCAGGGCGGACTTGACGTGCTGATTGGCATCTGACACCAGCTCCTGGGAGGGGGATGGGAGGGGGAAGCCTCTGGGATCCAATGCCACGTGGCCTGACGGCTAAGAAGCCCTGAGGACGGCCGGTTTGGCCCCGAGTCCCACGTGCCACTGAGCGCCCAGGGCAGCTGGGCTCCCGGAGTGTCCAGCCTGCTTCCAGAAACACTGGCCCTGCCCTTGCAACCATCCCCAAGCCCCTTGGAGGGGGGAAGCGCTTCTGCCTCCACGGTCAGCCCTGAGCCTCATACGTCATCTCCACTCGTAGCCCCAAGGGCTTCAAACCCCAGACTGCCTGGTCCTGGAGGCCGGGCACTCAGCTGCCTCTGGCTGACCCTCAAAGCCCGTCTCCACCCCTTCTCTCAGAGGCTCAGGGCTGCTCTGTTCCCTGGCCCAAACCCCTCATTACCTTGATGCAGGGCAAGATCTGGGTCATGATCACATTCTCCCGACAGTCAGCTGAGAGGTTTTCACAGAATTCTGGGGGCAAAGAAGGGGGCAGGAGATGAGATGCATTGCCCGTTTCTGCACCTGGCCCGACACCCACCCACTTGCTGTGTTCTGGCTGCCAGCACCAACCTTTGACCTTGTGGGAGGCTGCGGCCCTCACCTCGGCCTCACAGTCCTTCATCAGGTTCTGGAAGGCGGGGACCAGGTCTGTTTTGGTGATCTCGGGCCCCACTGCTTTCTGGAGCTGCAGGTGGGAAGGCAGAGGGATGAGAGGGCAGGGAGGGACTGGCTGAATGACACCAAATTTTAAGTTACAAGCTCCAGAATCCAGGCCAAACATGTGGCCCGTGCAGTGGGTCTACCCCAGCGCCAGGGGCCCGAGGGACAGTAGGGGCTGAGCACTGCAGGACAGGGGCGTGAGGCTGGGGCCCGAGTGTCCGGCTGGATTCTTGTGACCCTGGAGAGGCACAATGAGGAGCTTGAGGGCACTGAGGCACAGTGCCGTGGTTTGTGCTAGACGTGACGATAGCCGTGCTGACCAGGTCGGTCAGGGTTCTCTGTTACCCAACCCGAGACCAGCCAAGCTTTTGAGTTACCTATGTCTGTACTTTTAAAGACTGGTCACCAAAGCGAGTGCTATTTTTGTGATTAACGTAAAACAATAGAGACTAAGGGGAAAAAGGCCGGCAGGTCCAGCCCGTCTCACGGCAGCAGGCGGGGAGGCAGGGGTTCTAGGGAAGGAGAAAGACGCTCGTGGGCTTCTGTGGCTGGGCACTGGCACACCCCAGCAGTCCCACATTTGCGGGCTTGTTGCCCCGAGTCCAGGCCAGGCAGAGCCACCGTGTCCACGGGAGCATGGGGGTGCTGGGCAGCGGCCTGTGGCTCCTCAGTCTTCCTAACAAATAGCCATGCACTTAAGAGTATCCCTACACCTCCCCCAAATCCATGGAAGTCCTGACGCCCCAGTACTCTAGATGTGACTAAAGACAGGACATGTAAAGAGGCGACGGAGGGAAGCGAGTCACCAGGGAGGTTGACCCAGCCACGACTGGTGAACCCCAAGAAGCGGATGACCACCGAGACCTCATCGGGACAGGGAGGCGCCATGTGGACAACTGGGGAGAGGGACTGGAGTGCTGCCACTCACACCTGCTTTTACCTTCTGGCTCCCAAACAGCGGGGAGTAAGGGTCAGTCTGTACGGTCTTTCCTGTGGCCGCGCCACACACCAGTGGACTCCCCGCCCTCCTGAAGGGGCAGCTGATGCGGCCGGGACACGCTCTGCCTGCGGTGCTCACTCTCAGCCCAGACCTCGGCGGCCCTCGTCCTCACAGACTACTGCTCACGCCCCCATGACTCCACCCGGCTGACGACAACCCACAGCCCAGCCACCCCCTCGGGGCCTCAGTCTCGCCGCTGCAACAGGCTGTCAGTGGACCCACCTCCGTGAACTTGTCGGCCACCATGTACCGGACACGCCAGGACTTGTCCTCAGCAGCCTGGCGCAAGGTGGGCATCACCAGGGCCTCCAAGTCCTCCTGGGGCAGGAGCTGGGCGATGTTCACGCATGCCTCCACTGCCAGCAGCCGCACCGAGTCCTGGGGGGCGGCACAGGCGGGTGAGCAGCGGGCTCCCTCTAGGATGCGGGGCCCAGCAGAGGGAGGGGAGGGGTGCAGAGCCCACCTGCTCGTCGGAGGCCAGGTTGGAGAACATGGGGATGATCTCACTCTTGACATTGTCCAGCTCCAGCACCTTGGCGAACTCCCCCAGCTTGGAGGCTGCGGCCCGCCGCACCATGGGGGTGTCATCTGAGCACAGGTTCCGGAAGTACCTGGATGAGATGGGGCACGGAGTAGGCTCCCTGGGACTCCAAGGCAGCAAGTAAGGGTCTCCCCATGCTAGAAATGGAGCTGATATAAAGTGCTCCCCCACCCCAGTCCAACCTGGCCCAAGGTCACTGTGAGGTTCAAGGAGACCGTGTGTTTGACACTCAGCAGCCCATGTGCGCCAAGTCCAGGCAAGCAGGGAGCTGACAGCTCCTCGGAGCCCAGGTACGCAGCCTGGCCACTCAGCAGCCTGCTCCACGGGGGCCTCCCGGCCGAGGGCAGTGGGAACCAGGGTGCTGGCAGGAGAACTCACTAGATTGTGCCACTGGTGGAGGGACAATGTCCAGAGGGAGGGGAAGACAAGTGTATTAATGGGAAATTTTAATCCAATTAAGTGCATTTCCATTGCCTTCTTCTGGAAGGCAAGTCCCACCTATGAGAACCGTGGGGTACCTTGCCAGAGGGGGCTGGCTGAGGGCTCACTGCACTTCCAGGGGCCTGTGGGCACCTCTGCTTTCGGCAGGGAGCCATCCACTTAAACCCTCATCGCACGGGAGGAGGGAACAGTCAGCTCCACTCCCTGCACGAGCCAGCCAGGACGACACTAGGCCAGGTCCCTCCAAGGCTGCGGGAGCTCAGGGGACCCCTAACCGGAGCTAAGGCAGGGGGCTGGGGGCTGCTCAGGGGCCAGAGCAGGGGACTCACTGTCGCAGCTCTGCCTTGACGGCACTGGACACGCGTGGGTAGCAGACGGAGAAGAGACCGCAAGCCGAGGTGCGGGAGGTGAACCAGTCGCCGCCCGCCAGCCGCTTTACCAGCGGCACGAAGTGGGCCTCGAGGTCGGAGGGCGAGTGCTCGTGCGAGATGGCCCGCAGGGACTCCACCGCCTTGTCCCGCACCACCGTCTCTTCCACTGTGGCCAGCGACTCCAGGGGCGGCTGCAGCACAGAATACCTGTCACCATGTGCGCTTCCTGTAGGCACACCTCCACCGAGAAGCCTTCCCTGATCAGCCTCCCAGCTTTCATCTGGTGTGCCTTCCCTGAAAAGCCCCATTTATCAGCTCTGGGAGGGGTGTGGTAGGGTGCACGTGCCCCCATCATCTGTCACTTTCTGGGGAGAGCCACAGCTGTCCCCAGTGCGCTAAGACAGTGACCCAGGGGGACGCCATGTCTGCGTGCTCTCGCAGGGCCACTGAGTCAGCCCACTCCAGCGACCTGCTCTGACCAGCCAAATCCCACGAAGCAGGCGCATCCCATCACCCGCGGCTATCTCTGTTCATAGAGGAGAAAACTGCGCCAGCAAAGGCGGGGCTCCCTGTCCGAGCCAGCACAGCTGCAGGCAGAAGGGACAGTGGGCCCTGGCCTGGAGATGCCCCAGCCTGGACAGCAGCTGCGGCCTGGGACTCATCATAGCACCCGCTGGCCCATCCAGGCCGGGGCTCGTGGCTGCTCACTATGTCACTGCAAGGCCTGGGTGGCTGTGCTCCTTGGGGACAGCTGGCTGGCTCAGGGGTGTCCCCCGCTGAGCTCCTAGCACACACGGGACTCAATAACCAAATGAGGGGGACACTCACTTTCTCCTAAGCTGTTCAAACAAAGGCGGGCAGGCCTACAGTCAGAAGTCCAACCTGGCCTGACAGGTACAGAAGGCGAACTGAGGTCATCAACGGTAAGGCCTCCGGGGCCCAGGCAGGCAGTAAGGTGGAGCAAAGCGCAAAGGTGACAGGAGGGGACAGCAGAGAAAGGCAGAGACTGCAAACTGGTCAGGGGCAGCCTGGGAGCACGGGCCACATACCTGCTGTCCCCACGGGGAGCTCGCAAAAGCAGCCTGGCTTTCCAAGAGGGCCGGGGTGTCACAGGTGAAAAATCACCTTTAACCCACGCCACTCCCTCGTGGGCAAGCCTGTGAGGCACCGTGCAGGACCCCTCACATGAGGGGCAGGTTCACAGAAGTAGGAGTGGGGCGTAGAGTCTGCTTACAGGGCAGGGAGCATGAGAAGCCCCGATGAAGCTTCAAGGGCAGTGGGGAGATGAAGAGCAGGGGCCTGCGCCGCAACGTGCCCACAGTAGGCTGCAGAGCCACGCACTTAAAGATGGTTAAAATGGCATTTTATTTTGCAATAAAAAAATATTGGGCCTCCCTGGTGGTGCAGCGGTGCAGCGCTGGGCTGCGAAGCTGCCCGCAGCCTCTGCAGCACCGGTTCGATCCCCGGCCGCCGGCGAGGGTCCCACAAGGCGCACAGACCTCTCCTGCCGCGCCCGCTGCTCCCCTCAGCAGTGTCCTCCTTCTGTCTGTCTGTTCTCCCCGCTCTGGCTCTGGTGAATTCTCTCACCCTCCCGCGCTTCTGACTGTACCCAGTGCTTGTATAAATAAATAAATAAATCTTTAAAAAAAAATTTTGTTTTTAAATTTTAAGTCTCCTTTGGAGAAGGTTGGCAATGATGGCTCCTGAAGGAAACTGTGCCTGCCAGGGCACACCTGTCATAGGGTCACCCTGGGCAAGGTTTCAGGCTAGGAGTGACTCACGGGGTGTGGCCGCAGGTGTGGGGGGGTCACCCACTGCCGCAGGGACTCGGTTCCCACGCCCGGCTGGCATACAGCAGGAAGCCAGTCAGCTGCCCCAGTGACTAAGTGGAGCTCAGGGTAATCCGTCCTTCTCCCAGAGGCCCTCCCCAGCGGGGGACTACAGAGTCAGGCTCTTCCAGGGCGCTGCCCGGACCACCCATGGCAGGTCCACCCAGGCCTCCCACAGCACAGCCCCGAGGAGTCAGGCTTCAGGGCCAGGCCCAGGAAGGAGGTGCCAGGGAGTTCCAGGGCTGCTCTCACAACGTCCAGGGCCCCTCAGGACAGGGGGTGTACTCTCAGACCTGAGGCCAAGGAGGGGTGGGTGGGGGTCCTCCTAAAGTCTTCTGTGCTGTTCTGAGTCCAGAGTTTTGGTCAGAGTCTCAGAGATCAAAGGGATCCCCAATTCCAAAAGGGCTAAGACACGGAAGCATCACTTGCTATCATTACATGGGTCCCGAGAAATCAATTGTTTCATTAGAGAACCAGGGCTAGGCCAGGCCTCTGGCTTCCCACACCCACGGCCGAGCTCCTATCTGTGGGATGAACAAAGTGTACAGCAGGCATTCTCCATTCCCTATGACTTGTCACAAACCAACCTATGTGCCACCTCCTCCAGGAGGCCTTCCTTGATAGCTGCCCCACCCCAGCCTAAGGGCTGCTCTGGGCTTGGAACACGGTGACCTGACTTGCGTGTGGGTTCCCAGCCTGCTGGCCCACAGGGCCGCAGGACATCTGCTCTCTGATGGAACCTCATGGGTACCCGTCCTGGGGGTCACTGAGACTGCTCCCCAAAAGGAAGTGTGGGATGACAGGAATTTCCTTTGCTGCGAGTATCCTGTGGGGGCACTGCCGATGCCCCTCATCCCACCCTGTCTCCCCAGCAGCCAAGTGCCCTCTGGCTGCAGGCCCCAGGGGTTCTCAACAGGGTTTTCTGGTCCTCAGAGCTCCGAGAAGCTGCTGAAGGCTATGAAATCTCTCCTCAGCAAAGCTGGCCAGGGCCGGAGCTGCAGAAAGCTCCAGGGAGGCATGGCCCCTTCAGGTTGGTCCGTGACCTCACCACATTCCTGGTATGCAGCCCTGAGCTGTGCAAAAGAATCACACTCCTGCTCGATTTCAGTGTATCACACGCAAATTATACCAAGCACAGAGGCAAGCCAAGACGCCGCAATTCCAAGGCAACGATCACATTGCCTTGGACCTGAGGCTGCTTGGGAGAAAACACTGACCGTGTGTGCTCGAACCCAAAAGGCCGCCCGTTAGCAGCAGTACTGGCACTCACATACCACCTGGGGGGCCCCCACCGACAAAGCTGCGCAACACTATCAAGTACAGGCACCGCAGCAAAGAAGGGCACCCCGGGAACAGTGAAAGCAAGTGACTGAGGGGACGAAGAGGCGGGGCCGGAAGCAGGGCTCCGAGAACTATGAAAATCAAGGGACTGGGCAACCTCTAAGGCGCTCCCCAGAAGATAGGCGCCTCCCCGATCTCCCAGACAGCAGCCCTGGGAGCCCGTGATGCACCCCTGTGCCCAGCCATCACTAGCCCGAGCCCCCAGGTGGTGGCGGCATGGGGCTGGGGACAGCCAGGAGGACGCACCAGGTGGATGGAATACCAGTGCTGCCCAGAGAGGCGGAACACTGGCCTGCGGGTGCAGCTAAGCCCTGAGGGGCGGGCAGCCACGCTCAGTGAGTGCCGCAGGCCCAGCATGGCCACAGGATCCCAGGCGGCCATCAGGACAGGATGCAACGGCTCTCGCTTTACAGACGAGGACAGTGTAGCACAGAGAGGTGAGAAACTCCCAAGTCACATAGCAAATGACTCCACAGCTCCGGCTGTGAGCAGGGTGTGGGGTGCGGGTGGGGCTGGCACGGCCAGGCAGGTGGCCGGCCCGCGACTGCTAAGGGAGACGAGTGCAGCTGAGGTGTGGTGACCTCACTGCCAATGAGCTGCACGAACAGAAGGCCCAAGGCTCCTCTTCAGGGACGGTAACCTCGGCCTCCCCTACGGCTCCCCTCCCCGCCCCGCCCCAGGGGCAGCAGAGGGCCTCCCGCCGGCCCCGCAGACTCACCAGCAGGCAGTGCACGTACTCGGGGCCACCCACCAGGGTGGTGAAGGCTCCCAGCTGCTCCGCCAGGGCCAGGAGGACCTCATCCTCGTCGTAGATGGTGTCTGTGGACCAGATGGGCTGGGTCAGTGCCCCAAGACCGAGCCTCCCCAGACTCCCGGCATTCAGCTGCCCACCGACACCCGGGCTGGTGGAGATCAGGGCTTGGGCTGGGGAGGGGAGATGGGGCCGCTGGGGACACAAGTGCAGCCGCCTGGGAAGTGAGGGCACGGTCGTGGGGGCTTGCGGCTGGGGGCACGTCTCCCCTAGGACTGCTCTCTCTGCTCTTTTCTTTGCTCTGAGAAGTAAGTGCTCCATCCTGTGAGCCTCAGCTCAGCTACCACTTCCTGGAAGCCTCCTCCGGGGGCAGGCTCAGGCCCCAGCCGCCATGCCACCTCCAACAGACACCCCATGACAGGCCTTGACCCCCCGAGTCCAGGGCTGGCTCCTCTCTGTGTCCAGGTCCTGCTAGAGCAGCCCAGTCCGGCCGCTGAGAGAATGCAGGGGCGTAGAGCACGGCCCCACCCTGGGGTCCACACCCGAGAACCCCTGCCTTGCAGACTCCCGCCCACGGCCATCTCCACCCGCGGCTCTGAGCCCCACAGACACTGGAAAATAGCCGCGAAACCCCCAACAAGAGTGCTCTCGTGCAGCAGGAGCCCCCACGGCGCCCCCCTCCCCCCAGGGCACCGCACCTGTGAGGAAGGGCAGGAGCTCGCTGCGGGTCCTCTCGACCCCGAGGGCCAGCGCGATGGTGGACAGCTTCTTGATGCTGTTGAGGCGAAGCTAGAGAGGAAAGAAAAGGAGAGAGATGGGAGCAAGTCCAGGATGAAGGGAGAGGGGCGGCGCTGGACCCAGCCAGGCCCAGAAAGCCCCAGATCGCAAAGACACGCCACACGGCTGGCAGGAGGCAGGAAGCGACAACAGCCCTTTCCCGGGGCCCACACAGGGCACGGACGCGAGCGTGCCACTCCACTCGGCGCCTCTCCCTCCTTCCCGCGCGGGCCCTCTGCTGCGGCGTGCCTGGGGCCAGCCACCACGGGGCACAGCAGCTCTGAGGACGCGATGCCGGCGGGAGGAGGCAGGCCCAGAATGCAGGAGCAGCAGCCGCTTTCTGAGTCTCAGTTTTCTCACCTGAGAATTGGGGTGAAACCAGCACCCATCGTGGGGAGTCCCTGGAAGCACAAAGCGACACTCCCAGGAGCACCCTGCGCCTGCAGCCCCCGCCTGCTGCCTGTCTGGGCACCCCCCAGGCGGGAGGGGTGGCTCCCCTTCTCCCACGGCGAAAGAGCAGCATCGGCGGACGTTTCCATGGCGGCGACATGGTGGGGAAGGCCTAGGGCTCTCACGCCTCAACTCATCTGCACCCCACAACCACTCAACGAGGTAAATTCTGGATGACCCAACCCCGTTTGATGACCCAAAAAACAAAGGCTCCGAAGCCAAGGAAGCTCACGGTCCGCGGTGGCAGGCTCAGGACTGCAGCCCAGCCACCCGGCTCTCAGCAGAGGCTCTGATGGGACTTGTGGGATTTCAATCTGGGCGGTGGAAGTACACCACAAACCCCCTTAGCAGGTCCGACAATGACCACAAACTTGAAAGAGGTGCCATTAATGACACTAGTGGAACTTGCTGACACTAGACACAGACAGTCCTGATTTCCACGGTGACACTCACAGGCCCCCCAACGCTGTTTCTACTCCGCTCGGTAACGCGCCACGGGAGGAGCAGAGCCGAGAGGCCAGTGAGCACAAAGACGTTATTTCTCCCAGCTGACTCCAGGGTCTACCCTAGAATTCCAGATAGGCCCCGGTTGAGTGGCCCCCCTCTTGGCTCCCCTGCTGGTCAGGCACCCCTTGTTTCAGTGGTGACCCACCCCACCCCCGAGGCGTCTCTGCATCCAGAAGTGACGGGGAGTTAACGTCTGGTCGGAATTAACGTCTGGTCGGGGGATTTGTATGGGCGACTTCTAGAAGTGTCCTTAAGGCAAGATGGGGGTCGCGCCTCTCTTCCTGGCTTTTGCAACCATCTTGGGGCCTTGAGGGAGGGGGAGGCAGAGAGCCTGGGGCTGACATGCCAGAACGCCCTGTCAGCTTGGGGGACCACTAGGCTTTTTGATCTTCAGTCACAAGTACACTTTGAGCTCATTTAAAGTTTCCTACCGCTTGCAGCAAAACTCAATACTAACTCAGCACATGACCCAGTTCTAGACAAAGAGACACAGGCAAGTGGACGGAGAGCTCAGGAAAGGTTCTCCCCTTGCTGAAGGGAGAAGGAAAGAACCTCCCTGCCCTGGGTCAGCTCTGCCAGGACAGACGCCGCAGCCAGCCTGAGGCTGCGCAAGGCGGGCCTGGACGGCGACAGTCTGTGATGACCCCGCGCTGCTGAACCCGTTAGATGGGAAAACAAACCCTCGCTTGTTAAGCGATGGCGGGCTGGGTTCTCTGACAGAGCGCAGCAAGGAAGTGGTCCCCTAATGACATCATGGCCACAAGAGACTCCCCCCGCCCCGCGCAGTGCCCCCGAGTGTGCCTGTCACCTCCAGGCACTCCACACCCGGGGTCAGGGCTGCCTGCGCCCTCAGCACACAGCCCAGCCTCCCGCAGGGACGCTGCCCTGCAAGGAACAGCTGCAGCCGACCCACCGTGGCCAGCCCTCTCTCCCCAGCCATGCGAAACCCCAAGGCCCAAGACTCCCCAGCGCCCCATCTACTGCTCCAGTCCCATTTTCCCTGTGCTTGGGTCTCCTGGACAGTGACAAGGGTCTCCAGGGTCCAGTGACAAGGGTCTCCTGGACAGTGACCGATGAGCGCACACAAAAAAGCCACCCACTCTCCCCACATCTGCACTTGCTTCCTTGGCCTGAGACACAGTCCCCAGAGCCCCCACTGTCTGACTAGTCCAAGTAAAGCCTCTCTCCCCACATACCCTTCTTTGTTCCTCATTTCCCCTCCTCACCAGAATAGTTCTATGCTACCTTTGACTTTTCTTTCTTTCTTTTTTAATAAAAGATTTATTTATTTGTTTGTTTATTTATTTATTTATTTATGCAAGCACTGGGTACAGTCAGAAGCACAGGAGGGTGAGAGAATTCACCAGAGCCAAAGCGGAGAGCAGAAGAGGCAGACTGACGAAATACACTGCTGAGGGGAGCAGCCGCCGGGGCAGGAGACGTCTGCGCGCTATGTGGGAGCCTTGCCGGAGGCCGGGGATCAAACCGGCTCTGCAGAAGCTGTGGGCAACTTCACAGCCCAGGGCTCAACCTCTGAGCCATCAGGGGAGGCCCCCTTTGACTTTCTCTTGACCTTCTGTTTGGTCCCTCTATATTCCACATATAAGTGAGACCACCAGTATGTCTCTTTTTCCTTCTGCCTAATTTCGGCTAGCATCATCCCTTCCCGCTCAAACCATGTTGCCACAAATGGCATGAGTTTGTCTTTTTTGACTGCTAAGTAATATTCCATTGTATGACTACACAACTTTTTGATCTATTTGTCTATTTTGGGACATTTGGGTTGGGAAACATGTCAATTTTTCAGACATAATGAATGGGTGTGTGCAGGGCTCTACCAAGGAGCTGAGGGCCCCTGGCAAGTCTCAGGCATCTCAGAGCTGTAGCTCCCTCAGTCACCAGGTACTGGAGCAGTGTCTGCCTCACAGAATCACTGGGATGATCCAATAAGGAGAACAGAGGTTGCTTGGCATGCAGCAAGCACTCTGTGTTGGCTGCTCCTCTTGTCCCGAACACAAGCTGGGCACAGCAAAAGCCAGAAAAATGTTTATTTTGTAAGTTTTTAAAAGCCCAACTATGTTTTAAAGCGTGCTTTCTGTGTGTCGGGTATAAAACCAGGTACCACTGCACAGGTGTGCTCACCTGTATTCTTAGGACACACTCAGGCGGCAGCTGCCAACTCTGTGCCCTCTCCAGGAAGCAGCGGAGGCACAGAGGGAAGTGTGGGTCTCCACCGAATTCAGGGCAGAACCTCAAACTGAGCCTGTGCTCACCGCCACCACCATTTTTTAAACTCTCAGAAGGCAACCTTCGCCCTCAGCTCAGCCTCACCAGACCCTGGGCTCCCTACAAAAAGCAGAGGCTAGATGCGGCCATGGCAGGTGTGGGAGTGGCCGTCCTGCTTCATGTGACCCATCACATTCATCCGCAGCACAGGCTGGGTGTGTCTTCTACCCCCTTTTCACTCAACAAGACTGTCAAGGCCAGAAGGGCTGGGAACTCCCAAAGTGGTCAGACCAGGGCCTGAAACCTCATGTGCCTCCACCCACGGCTCAGCCTCCTCCCAGTGTTACCTCCAGGCCCAGACTGTGTGTTGCAGGGGAACCCCAGCTTGGTGGTCAAGTGTGTGCCCTGAAACCCACTGCCTTAAGCTAATTCCTACTTTCACCATTTATGAGGTGTGTGACACAGACTGAGCAACTTCTCACCCTTAGTCATCAAATGGGCAGAATTTCAGAATGAAGGTTTGCTATATATGAACGGGGCAGGATCAACATTCAGCACTCTCCAGTGCAAATCTAACACAAACACAAGCTACATAAATTTACACTTTCTAGCACCATTATGAAAAAGTAACCAACAGGGGCCTTGGAGGAACCCACATGGCACAGCAGAGCTCTCGCTGCCCCCCTCAGCAGTGTATTTCAGTCAGTCTGCCTGTTCTGTTCCCCGCTCTGTCTCTGGGGAATCCTCTCACCCCCTCCCCACCCCCCGCATCTCTGGCCTGTACCCTGGCTCTTGTATGCATAGACAAACAAATCTTAAAAAAAAAAAAAAAAAGTAACAAACAGCACGTGAAATTACTCACAACAGTTGGAATTAACTCACTACGTCAGAAATGCCATTCCACACGCAGGCAGTGGGAAGCTTCGCTGAGACGGTTTCTAGTCTCCCCGTTGTCGGAGTCTGAAATGGGCGTGCGTTTCACTTCCAGCCCATCTCATTTCGAATGAGCCACGTGTCAAGTGCTCCACAGCCACGCACAGGAGTGGCTTCGAACCTGACAACTCGAGTCCAGCAAGGTCACCTCACCTGTTAACAGTGAGGCACCCCCGTGGGCAGCTGGAATGTGGGATTTTCACAGAGAGAGGCTGAAATCAAGGATTGGCAATCTCTGTCCTGTGAGGGGCCAGGTAGTAAATATTTTAGGCCCTGTCTCTGTTACAAATATTCTATTCTGCTGTGGCAGGGAAACAGCCACAGATAATAATGGAAACAAATGGGTTTTCAATAACACTTGAAAAAACAAAACCAGAAACAACAAAAGGCCAACAGCAGCTGGGTGTCACTCCTGGTTTAAGCTCACAAGATCTTTCAAGACACAGGCCTTCTCATCTTCACCTCCTAAGTGGCCTTTCTGCTGTTCCCAGAACACACTCTATACACTCCAGCCTCAGGACCTTTGCACTCGTTTCCAGGAGTGCTAGTTCGCGGACAGGCGCAGGGCCTGCTCCTTCCCTCCCCTTCTCGGCTTAACCGTCACCGGCTTCCTTTAGGCATTTCCTTCAAAATTATAAGTCCTCCCCATTCCTGCTTTTTTTCCCTCCATCTGCCTTTCTTTACATTGTTTCTCCTGTCAACCTCCTCAACAACGTGAGCTCCACAAGGGCAGATTTTTGCCTGTTCACATCTGTTGCCCCAGCACCCAGCACGCAGCCCCTAGCACACACCAGGCTCTCCTTAAATATCTGTGAAAGAGCAGCTTCCCTTCAGACTTCAAAGCACTGGAAGTAAAAGTAATGAAAGGAAAAATTAACTGAATTGGAAATGTAAGAAGAAAAATAAAGTCACTTCACCACTGCCTGCCACCTCCCGTGACTGACCCTCCCAGCTCCACCTCCAAACTATGGGAGGCAAAATACAAGCCCCCCACAGATGTCCACACCCAGAGCCTGTGAACACAGAACTCAGTTCCTGTGAACACAGGACTCAGCAGACGTGGTGAAGGTTCAGTGAGATGGGGGGAGAGGAGCCTGGATGACCAGGCGGCTCCAATCGAGTCACACGGATCCTTAATGGGAGACCCTTTCTGGGCTGCTGAGAGGAAGACATGACCACGAAGAACTCTGGGTAGGGGTCACAAGCCAAGAAATGTGGGCACTTCTAGAAGGTAGAAAAGGCCAGGGAACAGCTTTTCCCCTCGAGCCTCTAGAAGGAAGGTAATTCTGCCAAAACCTTGACTTCAGTGCAGCAGGACTACTCAGAGTCCAACCCCCAGAACCGGCAGCTCGTAGAATGATGCTGTTAAGGCCACTAAACTTGCCTCAGGAGTCCCTCGGAAGCCAGCTCCGCCGATCTCTGTGAAAGGTGCATTCCCTCTGCCGGGGCTGCCCTGCATGCTGCGGGTTCCACCTTCACCCACGGAGGCCAGGAGAAGTTCCTGGTGGTGACACTCATAGACGTCTCCTGACACGGCCCATCAACACCTGCGTGCCTCTCTTCCTGCAAGGGCCCCCCCACCTCCTTCCTGAAACTGCTGCTTCTGGTCTCATCCTCCACTCTGCAGCCTCAGGGGAGCCTCCCCATCCAGCTTCCAGTTTGCTGAGTACCCCTGCCCAGCATCTTTGGGCTCCATCCTTGCCGCCTCCGGCTCTTTGCCAACATGGGCTCCATCTTCCCAGACCATTCTTTAAACTGCCCCCCTCTTCATATTCTCCTCAGTGCTTATCCCCAACCAACCCCGCACACACTTCACTTCTAGACATGTTGACCGTTGGCCCACGAGGCCAGGTGAATACCTGTGCCCAGAAGAGGGCCCTTGGCAGAGCAGAGGCCCAGATACCGACTGACTCACTATCACAACATGCGTTGCTTCCTTCCTACATCTCAGCCATACCAAGGCAGTCATGCTGTTTCACATCTGTCCAGGGCATCACATTGGTGTCACCTTCCTGGCCTCAACATCAGGCCTGATTCTAGCAGGTGTTTACTGAACAAATGACTTCGCACAGCAGCCTGGTGAACTAGGTAATGACCCCCACTCCAGAGCAGAGAAAACGGAGGGCTAGAGAGAAAACTCGCCCTCATCCATCAGCGAGAAGTGGAAGAGCCAGGGGTGCAGCCCGTGGGTCTCCAGAGCTTAAGCGCACTAACCGGAAACCCAGAGACAGCCCTCCGCCCTGCTCCACTTTACAAATAGGGAAACTGAGGCCAAAAGGGGGGGACCGGACCTCTTCAATCACCACGCCCAACAACTACACCGAACATCAGGGCCCTCGCACCAGGCCGGACACGGTTCTATTCTACTTGTATCGTTAACCCGTTCAGTCCCTCAGTCCGTCCACGAGGCCGGGCTACTGTTAGCCCGCGTTTGACTGAAAACGGAGGCCCAGGCGGGGAAGGGACGCGCACAAGGTGACAGGCGGGTGGGAGGTGGCGCTGGGCTGGCCGCCCGGAGACCTCGCTTCCGGACCCCTCGCCGCCGGCGCATCCCAGCTCCCACACAGCTGTCAGCCCCTTTAGGAAAATGCCTCCGCCCCCAGGCAATGGGAGGGCCCTAGGGGGGCGGCTCTGGACTCGCGATTCGCTCCTCCATGAAGCTAGCCCTCCGGCCTCGGGACTGGGGGGTTCTCGGAACTGGGGGGTTCTCGTCACCGCCCTCCCCTTCGGGGGTCGACAGCCAAAGAGCGGGCGGAGGGCGGGCAGGACTAGCCGGGCAGCCTTCAGGCTCGGCCGCCCTTCGGGGAGGTTACCCCACGGCGCTGAGTCCCGGCGCCGGCGCCGCCGCCCAGGACGCAGAACAGCTCCGCGGGGCCCGGCGGCCCCTCCCCGGGGAGCAAGCCCCGCGCCTTCCCACCCCCAAGGGCCCGTCGGGGCCGCCGCCCATCAGCGGGCGCTGCCCTTCCGAACCCTGCCCGCCGACCCCCAGGCCCCGGGCCGCCGCCTCCCAGGCCCCGGGCGGCCGCGCGCGCCGGGCAGGCCCGGGACCCCCAGACGCAACCTCGCTGCAGCCCAGCCGACACCCAACCCCCAGCGCCGTCTTATCCGGCCCGGGGACCCGGCGAGATGAGAGCTGGACCCTGATTGGCCGCGGCCCCTTCCGCCACTCCCCGAGAACACTGCGCCTTCTCCGCCGCCGCCGCCCGTGCCCGCGGGCCCCCTCCCCGGCTCCCCGAGTCGCCCGCGCCTCCGGACCTGGACATCCTCGTTGCGGAGCTCGTCTATGAGCACCGCGATGGGGTAGAGCGAGTCGTCGCCGTCGGCCGCCGCCATCTTGGCTCCGTCCCTTTCCTGTCAGACTGCGGCCAGCGCCGTGCTGAAACGGGGGTAGGGCGGGGCCGAGCCGGGGGGAGGAGGAAGGGGAGCGTGGGGACGCCTGAGCCACCTTACAGGGGCCGCCCCGCCGTCATTGGCCGCGCTACGCCCGGCCGAGCCCGCGTTTCTTTGGCCCGACAAATGAAGCCCCGCCCACCGCCCATTTGCCATTGGTCGAAGGGCCTAGATTAGGCTGGCCGGAGTCAAGGAGAAAGAGGAAGACAACGGAAGTACGCGGTATCTTAGCGCGTACTGAGATTGGGCCCGCCCACGTCGCCACTAACAACGGGCAAGACGGGCAGAGCTTCTAGCCAATGAGGGGCAGGAGTGGGCGGTGGCGGAGTCTGTCCTTCTGCGAGTCCCCACGGGAGCTTCTGCGCGTGCGTCCACAGGGACGCGTGACGTCGTGCGGCGCGGGCGCTGCCTGCGGGGCTGGCGGGTGCGGCGGTGACCCTGCGCCGGCCGCGGGCGCGGGGGGAGGGCGTCAGATTATGCGCCCGTGATCAGTGTAGCCGAGGAGGGTGGCTGCGGGCGTCCCTCTGGGCTGATTCCTGGCCCCCAGGCGCGCCTCCCGCCGCCCGGTGGACCCCAGAGCCGCCGCCATCCGAGCGCCTCTGCTCGTTCTGGCCGGAGACCCTTGGCCCCCACTGGGCCTGCTCCCGGGCCGCGTTTCCGCTCGCTTGTCAGATGGCTGCACGGATGCCGCGACGTCGGCTCTGTCCCGGGCACACAGCCACGACCTGCTTCCACCGCCCCCGGGGCGGGCTGCGACTGTCCCCCTGGGTCTGCCCGCGCCCGCAGGGCTCGCTAGTCGCGCCTCCTCACCTCCATCAAGCAGCCACTCCGCCAGGTTCAGGCGCGGGCCTGTACCTGAGGGGTGGGCACCTGCAGGCCTGGGAGGTTTCTTTGCCCTTCACTGCACCACGCAAAGGGCCCGCAAGGCTGAGCTAGACTCGCTCTGCAGCGTCCAAGCGAATTTGTCCAAAGCTCCCCCACCCGCTCACCTGTCACGGAGACCTGTGTGTCTCCCCTGTCCCGGGAGCTCAGGAAGGGCTGGGCCTGCTTTTTGAGGGGGAGGGCTAAAGAGAAGAGTTTCTCTTTCACTGCTGGGCGGATTGAGGGTTGCAGAGCCAAGGAACTCTCACTGGGAAATTTGATCAGGTTCCAGCAGACACCCCTCTGGAGAGCACCGATGACTCGTGACACAGGGCTGTGGGGCCAACAACAGCCAACAGAGTGTCATTTATGTAATGAAACGTGTATCCAGGGAAGAGGGACTTGACCCACCTCCTCACCCACTGCTGGTGGCATGTGAAAGGGTGGGTTGTCCCACCAACACGCTTCTCGGCTTCCTCTCACCCTGATGAAGGGGGATCACCCCTCTGGTCCTTGTGGGACAGAAAGCACAAGCCTATATCACAACAATTCGTATTATAACAGACATAGAAAGATGCCAGGATGTTGGATTTGTCCAAAGGCCCCTGCTGTGATGTGCTTGTGTCCCCTCAGCGTTCAAATGTTGCAGCTGAATACAACACCCCAGGGGATGGAGTTAGGGGTGAAACTTGTCCAAAGTGATTAGGTTCAGGAGGGCTGAACCCCTAGGAATGGGATTGGGGCCTCTGATATAGTTAGGAGAGCTCACTGACCCTATTCCACTCTGTGAAGACAAATAACAGTCTGGAACCCAGACAATGATCTAGACGCACCACAGGGCCCTGCGGATGTCCAACATCCTGCCTGAACACCTGGACGCAAAAAAGATTGTGTGTGACCACCCAGTGGTTCCAGCCTTGTCCTTGCAACCCAGACAGCTGGAGACAGGCCCCAAGCACCTCAAGTCAGCTTCCTCTGCTTCTGTAACAGCACACGAAGGCCACTGCTGTAGAACTCAGTCCCTCTCACCCACATTGCCAAGACTGTCCGCTGCTCTACCAGAGGATGCTCGGACACGGAATCGCCTTCACTGGCCCTTCTCAAATAAGGGCTCCGCCTCCCTGAGGGTGGAATGAGATAGATTCAAAACTGCTTCCAAAGCCTGACTCGCTGCGGGGATGGCCCCTCAGGACAGCTGACTGCAGCTCCAGGGCTGCCCTGCACCCACCGTTCCATTTCCCTGTGTCCTCAGCTCCATACCGAGATATTTCTCAGAATTTTACTGTGAGAATTAAAGAGACACAGTTGAGGCTTCTCCACCATCCCAGAGAGTGTCAGACCCACGTGCTGTCTCGCACACATTGCAAACCATTTGGAGCAACACTATGTTCCCCACAGGAGTATTAGGGACCCCTATACAGACCTCGTTACAGTGACTGGTCCAGAAACACTTGCTTTGAAGAGGTTGCTCAGCCTGTCTGTAAACCATAAGTCACTCACGACTGCACTTAGGGCTGGGGGTGCTGAGTGAATTATAGAATGAATAAATGACCGTGCACTCACACGCGCTTTACATATTTCTCAAGGGTTTGTGGCATTTACTATTCCTCATCCAGGCAGAGCACAGCAGGGACACTTTGGGTTCCCGGCTCAAGAGCAGAAAAGGACAGAGAGTCGGGAAACACAGTGTGATTACTGTATTAAAGTTTAAAATGAGCTGGTTGGGATGATAAATAACAGACACAACAATCTTCATGATGGAGGAAATGATGTTAAAACAGATGAAGGTGCTCACCAGGAGCAGGATGGTGCCGGTGGCTCTGAACATGGGGGAGGACGTGGAGGAGGTGAACCGGTGAAGGTGCCGGACCCGCTGCCTGTGCCGGGACAGGGTGTAGACCATGGAGCCACTGGCCCCGATCATAGTCACAAAAAACACAATATCAGGGAAGGAGAGGAGGGCCCCGTATAAGAAGTCTCTGGTTGTGTCGTGACGAACAGAGGAACATTGTCCAAACCTTTTCCTGCTTGTGTCATTTTGGTGACAGAATATCAGACATGAACACGGGATAGAGGACATTAACCAGCAGGCTCAGGACCCAGCACAGGGCAATGCAGGGCGGATGCACCTGGGAGCTTTCTCTCTCAGCCCTGCCCACCTGGAGCCCAGGGGGCTGATGGTGATGGCCTGGACCACACTCAGGAGGCAGGTGGTGCTGATGGACACGCCTCCGCCCACTCCACCAACATAGGGTTGAAACCTGCACCCCAAATCATTTTCTTGATACCAACCAAAATATGTGACTACATAGCTGATTCCTCTGGAAGACAGGACCAAGACACTGGCCACAGTCAGGTTCTTGACAATCAAATCTGTGATCCTCAGTCTAGAGGCAGTGAAATAGAGGAAGAGGTTATGGGAAAGGAGAGAGAGATTCCCCAGGACCCCTAATACACTCTGTAATAAAATAACCTGTGCCACAAAATCCCGGGGGTCCATCCTCTTAGCTCTCAGCAGATACCTTGGCCTTCTCAGCAGGAGGACCCTGTCCGGGAACAGGAGGCTCAGCTGCCCTGATCATGTCAGCTGCAGCCCTGTGCTCCCCTCCCAGCACAGCTCCCGCTCTGGGATGTTCACTTAAAGACTCTCAGTCCTTTGGACAATTTTAGTGGTTGAATGTAAAATCAGGACTTGCTGCTCCATGGACCTCCAGGTGGGATAACTTCCTTCCTCACAGACTCCCGAGGCGGCCCTGCCCAGGCCTCATGAAGAAGCAGGTGCAAAGGCACACAGAGTTCCTTGTTCATCAGATTCACTCACTGGTTCGGGCAGAGAGGAGAGCTGGGAGGGGGACAACACCTGGCTGGGCGGAGGACAACACAGGACACTGAACCCACATTGACCAGAGGCCCCTCACCGGTTCTCCAGATAAATCACAACTAGATTTGACTTTGTTTTTTGTTTTTTTTAAAAAAAAGATTTATTAATTCATGCGTTCAAGAACCAGGGTACAGGCCAGATGTGCGGGAGGGTGAGAGGATTCACCAGCGACAGGGCGGGAAACAGAACAGACAGACTGACTGAAACACACTCCTGAGGGGAGCAGCAGGCGAGACAGGAGAGGTCTGCCGTGCCACATGGGTATCTCACCGGCTGGCCAGGATTGAACCCGCGCTGCAGAGGCTCCGGACAGCTTCATAGCCCGGCGCTCAACCTGCGTGCCACCAGGGAGGCCCTAGATTTCATCTGTATTTCGTCATTACTAGTGACAGCACTTTAACTTTGGTAGTGGCAAGTTTCCAATTATTATTGGTCTCAATTGTAGGCAAATTTTCACTTTGCTAAAGATAGGGAGACTGGGGAGCCCCCAGCACGGGCTACAGAGTGTCCTGGGCTCTCCCGTGAGCCTGCGGCGCATGCAGAGCGGCAGGACGGCAGGAGCACAGCGGAGCCTCCAGCCCCCTCCAGGAGCCGCACCTGGGCACCCTGGCTGGAGGAGCTACCCGGCGTGAGCAAAGGGAGACCTGGCTCCTGGTCGCAAACCATAGCCAGGACCTGTTGGCACCTGAGCTGCAGGGCTGGGTCCCGGGACGGCCAGGCATGAGACCAGAGCGTGCGTGAAGGGGAAGGAGCAGACACAGACCTGCCGAGGCGGGACTGGTGCCCAGAGTGACGGGGTTATCACATGGACAGCGGCAGAGATGGGACAGGACACTCTTCAGCCTGAAAACGTCTGCAGCCCGCAGCTTTATTTTCCTAAAGTGCTGCTGTCCCTACATGTAGGGAGGAAAGTCTCTCCACAGTGGGGACCCATGAACGCTGCCCGCGGCGTCCCTCACCCTCCGTGTCGGGGACTGTCTCCTCCCCACTGGCTCTCAGACAGGCTTTCTGCCAGGACCAGAGCCCTGTGGAGGCTCTGGACCAGGCCCTCCGGCCCTGTCTCACAAGCAGGGAGGCCCCTAGACGCCCCATGGCCCTGGGCATCAGGCCAGGGCCCCTCCTGAGGAGGCTGAACAGCAGGAGCCCCAGAACCACCACACTGAGGTCAGGGGAGTCGGGGTGCTCCCTGCATCGTTGTGCAGGGTCCAGGGCACCCCGAGATATAGTGTGTGCCACTGGGACCTGCCCTTGGAGACAAAATTATCGTGTCCCCTGGAGCTGCCCGGGCAGTGACAGGCCTGGGCTCAGAAAAGTAGGAAAATTTCCTGCTGCTAATTGCCAAGAACAACTTCAGGGTCCTCAGCGGCTGTCCGGAGACGTGGGGTATAGGGGAGACCCTGCTTCCCTGGGCCCTGAGGGGCAGACAGAGCTCTGGGAGGGTGCCCAGAATAAACAGGACAGACTGGGGATGGGGGGGGGAGGGGCGTCCCGGGGAGGCTGTGCTCACTGAGAGGGTCACCCATGGGAGTCTGACTCTTGTCACACACTGAGTGCAGCCTGCAGGGCGCACCGGGCAGAGACCTGGAGGCTCAGACCCTGGAAGGCTTGAAAGACCTCAGGTCAGAGGAAGTGATGACACAGATTATATTCATAAAATACTTTTAACCATAGACTCTCCCTGGTGCCAGGAAGCAGGAGCAGGTTAATTAGGGCCCAGAATGGCTGGGAGCTGGTCAGGGCACAGCCGGTGGGGACCTGTGGAACCAGGCAGGCCAGGTGGGAGCTGCTCAGAACCAGCCAAGGTGGTCAGAAAAGCAGAAGCCCAGGCCTGTATCCCTGGAGGACTCAGCAGCCCTGTGCATCCTCCTGCCTCACCGCCTGCTGGGGTGAGGAGCCCTAAGGCGCCTTGGAGGCCCCTGGCTTTGACAACTGCGGTATCCATCCCTCCATCCCGGGTGGACGAGAGTCCTCCTCCCTCAGTCTGGGTACCTCTGCAGGCTGGCCCAGGCTGGGGCCTAATAGGACCCTATTATCCCTGGGTGATGCTGAGGGTACGTGCAGACTAAGCAATGAGACCCTTGCTGTAACCGCAATGGTGGGCTAGGCTATGGGGAAGGGAGGGGGTGAGCCGAGGTGAAGGGGAGTCACCTCCATTGTCACTGCCCTGCTTGAACCACAGGATCAGACTCAGCCTGACCTCCGGGTCCTCCGCTTTCACAGGGCCCCTGCCCTGAACCGTCTTGGTCACCAGGCAGGAGCCTCTCAGGGTCTCCCAAGCCCAGCCAGGAGCCCCCTCCTGAGGACCTTTGCTCTCCAGTCCCTGAGGATCCAAGGACCCAGGATGGATTCAATGCACATGCCAGCTTGTGCCTGGGCCTAGGGCGGACGCAGAGGCCAGTCCACAGAAGAGATGGGGTCAGGTGATCAGGGCAAGGACTGGGGGGCTCCCCTCTCTGGGCTCCAGTCCTGGTAAGAGCATCACCGCCTCACGCCTCCTCCCCTGCCACAGCCGTGGGGCAGGATGAGGCTGAGCAGAGGCAGTGAGAGGGAACCAGGTGAGCCCCCACCCTCCTCCTCTGAGGGGAGGGAGGTGTCCACATAGAGGCCATCTCAGGCTGGGTTTGCTCACCTGCACAGCAGGGACCTCACACACACCCCCAACAGGCCATGTGGACGGCAGGCGGCCAGGGTGCCTGTCCTGGGAGACCGGCCTGGTTAGCCCCTGTCCCTGAGCAAACCGTGCCAGGCTGCCCTGCCCTCCTGATGGGGCCTGGTGTCAGGTGTGATGACAACAATTCCATCCATTCACCTGGCAAAGCCTAGTGGAGGTGGCTGTGACTCCCGCAGGCAGGGATGGCTCCCCTGAGTCCCGAGCCCTGACCTGAGGCCACCCCTCAGGTCTGTCAGCATCAGCTGGGGACAGCTGGAACACCCCCATTGGGTTGTGGGCAGAACTGCACCCTAAGGACACAGCCAGATGTGCAGGGTGTAGGGCTCTAAGTGTGGCCAGAGCACCCGCTCAAGAGGCACACATTTATCGAATTAGAACAAAGCTTCTCCTGCCTGCCCCCTGGATGGGAAGGAACTGCGGGGCCTCACTGGGCAAAAATAACCGCAATGATTAGGCGTTTGCTATTCAAAAGAAGGGTCCTGGGCAGCAACACAGGGAAGGACCGACATCAGGGCAGCAGGAAAAGCACAGACAGCATCAAACAGACCCAAAGAGGAAGGTGCTCCCACCACCTCCTCCACAGAAAGGGCCCCACCTGGCGGTGACCTGGGGGCAGGTGGCAGAGCAGGATGGCCTGAGGCATGGGGTGGGGAGAGGAAACAGGTTGGGGGCAGATAACACCCTCTTTGTGGATCCCCGGACTGAGGACAAGGTGAGCTCATGGGAACTGAACTCTGCACACACAAGGGGTGGGTATTTAAATACATAAAACACACACCGAGATGGGATGGAATAAATGGACTCGTATTTTCATGTTGTGGGGTAAAGGTGGGTCCAAGTTATTTTTTAAGAGCTATGGTTGAATATTATAATGATAATAGTAAAAACAGGTTTATATTTTAACAATTAAACAATTTTTCTGGCTATATACATATCGCATAACATATCTTTTGTGGAATGTCACTATTTCCATTAATACTGTTTGCCATTAGTTCCAAGGGACAAATTTCCAGTATATTGATAAATACATTGATTGACTTTAAGGGGACATGGATATAGGTGTGCACGTTATTGACACCCACCATATCCGCACATCACACACATCATACCCACCACGAGTCTGCTTGATCTGTGTGGGTATAGCTGGTGCAAGAGTCCCAGGCATGGCAGGTTCACTGTTGAATGTGCAAATGAAAAAATCTTGGAGGACGAGATACTGCTGACATCTGACACTCGGGTCTTGCTGGATCTTCTCCAGAGTACTCAAGAGGCCTCTCAGGGCCTGGGTGTCATTCTGCAGCTCACATACTTAGGCCTTCTCTCACTTCATAGACTCTCCAGGAGCTGAGAACAACACCCATCCAACAGCTCCTGCTGCCACCTCATGGGCACTTGCGAGCCCAAGGTCTGCCTTGCACAGTGCCTATTCCACCTGCAACCGGGATCCGTCTACCTCAGGCCATTCAGGGGAGGTGCCCACAGAGAGAGGGTGGGTGGCCACCACGTACCACCTTCTCATGACTGCCAGCCTCAGTCCCTCCATGGGGTCAGATGGCTCCATACCCATTTGACTCAAATCCTGCTAACTACGCCCATTGATACGCATCCATCCCGGGCCAGGCATATTCATTGTTAATTCAGAAATTAAGAAGACTCCTGGAGCCTTTCTTGTGTCTGCTATGTCTTTAATGGTGAAGAAGGGACTGGATACACAGGCAGGCAAGTGGAGAGACAGAAAGCTGAAATATGATTAGGCTGAACAACTGCTGACCTAAGCCCCCTATGCTGTTATGTGCAAATGGTCACATCTGTCATACAGTGTTGCTCACACAGGACCCATCTGCGTTGCTGGAAGTCAGAAAGGTGAAAAATGTAAATAATATATTTCTAAGTTCCTAGGTCTCTATTTTTTGGAAGGTGAAGAAGAGCAGGAATTAACTCATCTTCCAGAAGTATATCAGGAAACTTAATGCAATTCTAATATGTGAGTGGCTACATACCCCAACTCCGTGCAATT